GAGATTGGGAAACCACAGCTCGGATTTCGGTCAATGTGGGTCGGCCAATAACAATGTTGAAAGAGGAGGCCATCTTGACAACGAGGAACCGGACTGAAGGGGCTACATAGGTCCGACCACTCCCAAAAGCCACATGGAGGGTAAGAACTCCTTCTACCGGAACAGGTTGGTTGTTGAACCCATATATAGGACCATCATACTTCTGCAACAGTGCTGGATCTAATCCCAGACTCTCGAAACAGTGGAAATACATGATGTCTGGTGCACTCCCGGTGTCAACAAGGACACGCTGTACTTCACAGTTGTTAATCATAACAGAAGTGACCAAAGGATCATTGTGAGGCGTGACAACTGTATCGAAATCAGCAGATGTGAAAGTAATTGGTTGATTTTTCCATTCAGCATCGTCAATCTTCCGCTTCTGAGCTCGGTTTTGATGTTTAACCTCCCTGACATACAGCTTTCGCTGCTTAGAGCTCAGTCCACCTGCTTCAAGGTCTCCCGTAATCATATGTATGATTCTAGCTGGTGGTGGGAGTGGGGGTGGGGTTTGTTAATAGCCCACGCCTTGCCTATTTGGGGGATTGCGGACTCCTTGAGGCTGCGGCCTCTGTTCTCTGACAAACCTCGGTTGTTCGGCGCGCTGTACATACTCATTCAGCATTCCCTTCTGAGCTAAACTTTCCAGTTCGGACTTTAGACTATTACACTGCTCTGTAGTATGGCCATGATCCTGGTGAAAATCACAATATCTGGTATGGTCTCAACTAGCAGCAGCGGTTCGCATTGGGCCAGGACGTCTCAAGTCCATCTTATTTTTGATCTGCATGAAAATTTGAGATCTCGGCATATTAAATGGAGTCCAATTAACTGGAGGTTTACTTGCAGACTATTGCTGGGGCGTTGAGTTCGGCCTTCCGAATCTCGGTGGGGAGGTCAACACCTGACCTCGGTTCTGCGCCATTCTCATCCTTTTCTGGCTCGGGTTGTCATCCCTCCATTCTGGGTTCTGGTTCTTAGAGGAAGGTGGATTTTGCGCCAGGGCGTATTCCTCAACAGTTATGAATTTAAGAGACCGATTGTTCACCTCGCTAAAAGTGGTGGCAGCATGTTTGATCAAACTGTCTCTGAATCTATCATGCTTGAGACCAGCGATCACAGCTACGATTCCCACAGCTTGATCAAAAGAACTAACCTCCAAAACTGCATCATTAAACCTGCTCATATAGTTCTTCAGAGATTCTCTATCCCTCTGTTTAACCCGCATCAACTCAGAAGTAGTTTTCCTAATCAACCTTCTACTGGAAAACTTAGTGGCAAAGGCAGATGCCATTTCTGTATAAAAGCTGATCAACCTCGGAGGTAAACTATAATACCAAGTTCGGGCATTACCTCGGAAAGTAGAGGGGAAGATCTTGCACATCAATGCGTCAGAGGCATTCTGAGCTTGCATGCAGGAGTAGAAAGCATGCAGATGGT